TGAACGCTTTTGCTTTGCTTTAAAGAAAGTGACACAAGACAACTGCCTGCCTTGTTACCAAAGTGGTAACACTCCAAGTCTTGAAACAAGATTCAAAGCTCTTATTTCAAACTCCAAATACACATCTCCTCAAGGACTTGGCTGGGGCATTATACTTCCACCTATTGTCTAACATTATTTTAGGCATGCTCAGTGAAAAGCAGATGTAAAGCTTGGACTCGTGAGGCTAACATATATTCACCCAAAGATCTGCCCAAAAGTGTAGCCACCAAATACATTGGGGGAGATGATGAAGATGATTGCACCTGCAGACCTGACAGCTCCTTGCTGTGGCCAGGAGAGACAGTTGGTGCAGGTCTTATGCAAGTCACACCACAACCGCCACAAGCAGCAATAAGACAGAGGACCAAAGCCCATAGATGTAGCAAGCAGACAGGAAAATGAGAGCAGAGAAAAATTGGCAGTAGAACATAGTTCAATGAAATGGTCTGCCGTGGAGATTGTTCAATGGTCCAAATGTCCTTCTCATGTTCCTGAATTCCTATGTTCCTCTGTTAGACGCATAAGCAAGGGCCTCAGTTATTTCAAAGAATAGCTTCCATCTCCATCTATCTTAATAAAGACAAAATGTCTATTTGTGTGATCTGTGTGTCCGCCAAGAATGTAATAACCGATTGACGTAGAGATATTTCTTATACCTCATCGGAAAGGTCTTGCAAGGGAGAGCATCATGGGCATATGTTTTTTCAGGGAACTCTTATCGTAGATGAGCTATATTCAAAAATATATTAAAAAATGCTTTAAGTAAGCCCCAAAAAAGGTATGCATGATTTTCTACCACAAAGTAGCAGCAGAGGTCACACACCCTTCTAAAGAGATACATCTATATTAATATAGACAAAATATCTTTCTGTGCATCTGTCTAACCGATTGACGTAGAGACATGATCTGGAGTCGCCCCACAGGAGTCCTCCCAAAAGGATATTTGTGCAAATATGTGAACAAGGGATGCAAATGAGTTCAGTAGCACATTTTCGTTATCTTAAGGGATAAAAATGCCTAAGAAGCGAAGATCCAGCCTGTCACAGACAAATAAAAATGTGAGATGAAAGAGACAAGGCCGATTAAATGAAACTGGCTGCAAGCATAGCTGCAATTGGTACAAGCTAGTACAGTGTAATTTACATTTATATAGTCCTTTCACATCAGGAGGATGTCTCAAAGCACTTGACACTGTTCGCTGGGTGCCGGAGCTAGAAAACTGAAGAGGGTGGGGAGAAGAAAGATGTCCAAAAGTCAGAGATATGTCTTGAACATGGGGAGGGGTGGGTCAAGTCAGAGGGGCTCCAGAATGGAGCCTCAGAGAGCAAGGTATAAAGATATTTTTCAACATTCCTTTGTTTTTGGTGGTTGGTATGAGCCCTGTATCCACGTTACCTGTGCCCTGTGTGCTTATTCTGATGCAGGACTCTCCAATTACCCCGTAAGCCAGGATCTGGCTTTCTCCTGCAGCCTCAATGACCTTGAAGCTGTACAATTTGTGAGCCTTTGAAGTAGACAAAAGATTCATAGAATTTTTAAAGGGTAACTCCAGGATAAGGTCCTCCAATGGCCTCACACCCATTTCTAAGAACTATTTTTCTCTATGTGCTGGCTGACCTCCCAGGCAGACCTGATTCCCATACTGTTTCTGAGGCTAGAGAACAAATCCACTTTTTTTTGGTTTAGAGTATCGGCTCACAGTGCCTCCTCCTGCTGTTTGTTACATTCATTGCTGTAACTGAAGGGAGGAGAGAAAGTTGCTGAGGCTGAGTGAGAAAATATCGCATTGCTATGGCCAGCTTTAGAAATACTGTGAAGGTGGCGGTCAAGCTGTTTAGGGAAGCAAATATTTATTTAAACAAATTAACTTAAAAGTCATAATTGTAAAATTACATAGAGGAGGGTGTGTTTTTATTCCTTATGAAATAATCCTTTTTAAGAACAGGCTGACTTCTTTATAGAATACTTTGACCCACTTATACCACATCCTGCATGAAGGACGTGACATCAGCGGTGCTTCCCATGCATAGGATGTAGTAAGTGATGTGCATCGTTTGCAGGAAGTGATGTCAACTGGGGGCCAGATTTTACTGTGCCCTGTAATAACAGGAGGTCCAAATTTACAGATCCAAACCGTAAACCAAATTAAAATGGAGCAGTCAGCCTATGTCAAGGCTTTGAGTCCGGAGAGTGATGTTTTCCAAGATCTGCCTCCAGTCTGAAGGCATTTAGGATGTTTAGTCAAATGATTAATCCCATCAATTTCAGTAATAATCCAGGATTCATAGGAGAATAGACATAGTATGAATGAATGAGCATTTTATTGTGGCCTTTACATCAAAATGATTCTCACTGTTCATAGTAATTACTTTTCTGCGCAGTGACTGACTGTTATTTCTGGGCAAACGGTGCAGCTGTTTATGCCAACAAGGTCTCACAAACAGCCATTGAAGTGAACGACTAATTTATCTGTGGGATTGTTGGCCAGGACACCAGGAGAAACTCTTTCGAAGAGTGCCATAGTATTTTTAAACATCCCTCTGAAAAACAGGTAGATAGGCTCTCAGTTTAACATTAAATTAGCTTTGCTTTTGGTACAGCATTTTATCACATCATCAAAATATTTCACAGGGGTTTTACTGTAAACTAATCTGTGCACAGCAATGTCCCACAATTCGACACTGAATGATCACATTTTTTATTTGGGGGATGGTTGGCCAGAACACCGGGAGAAAATCCCTTTTTTGAATAGTGCCACAGGATCTTAAAAATCCACCTGAACAGACAGATGGGACCTCAGTTTAGCATCTCATCCAAGGGATGGCACATCTGCAAATACAGTGCTCTCCCAGTACTGCACTGGAGTGCCAGCCTGGACAGTGACTTCAAGTCCCAACAACATCCTGACCCAGAGTCAGAAGTGTAACCACCTGACCCAGGTAGACACCTGTTATCGGGGATTCCTTACAATAGCAGTTCTTCAATTAAATACTCAAACATGGATGGATGGCGCCTTCAAGAGCAGTAAAGTATTATCTTAAAGTTGCATCCTCTTCTTAAAAAGTAGTGGACTTGCTTTTGTCCACAAGCACCTGATGCTTTGGACAATTATATCATCGTGTAACTTAAAACACGGTATCATTGTGGTGGAAAAGAGACCTGGCATCGTTGGCAAACCTACAAACCAATAGGGAAACAGTTTTTCAGGAAGGTATTGCCCCTTTAATAAGAGATGTGTTGGAGAAGTAGAGTGAACCAGAGTAATCTGACCCCCGGATGTGAAAACTACACTCCGTGTCAGTTTGTCAGTCATGCAGAATAATTGAGTGATAGTAGATTAACTGGAATTTTAATTAAACTAATCTGTGATTCTGCTTGTTCCCATCACTGTTTATGTATTTTCTGTTTGGTTTATGGGCTAATTGAAGAGCCACAGCTTTCTATTTTAGACACTGTAAACACCAAACATCCCAGTCTGTTCCATTTTAGCTGTTTATGCATGACTGTAACTGTAATAACGATGAACAGTTTGCATATTAATGGGCAAGGTGCAGACGTGGAGAGAGAAACCATTGTGACTAGCTTTAGTCCAGATTGTTAAAACGTCTGGTGACAGTTGAGTACTACGTGGAGGAATGTTTATGTACACTTTTCAGTAACGTTTGAAAACCTTGACTTTTGCACAGCAGCTTGTTACGTTTTACATGTTACTAAAAAAAAATCTCAGGGTTGCATAGGCTTCAACATGTAGATACAACACTCATTGCAATTGGCAGAAAATTCAGCTCAATGCAATACGGAAGCCTCCCTCCCCTCCCTTGTCATCTGCTCCACTCCAGCAACACCGAAACATGAGCAAAGCATTTAATGTCATGTATGTCAATTGGAGCTATTGCTATAGATACTACGCCCATAACCTCTGGAACTCTGCCTCAACTCTGCTTTGCCTCTTCACTATCTGTCTGGAAAAAAGCCAAAAAAGCTACCTCTTATGGTCACCTTCAACTTCCTCCGCTCATTTCTTCCTAGCTTGGTAACCAATCCCGTGCTTATGAAGTGCTTCATGGTATTATCCTACATGAAGGGTGCTATGCAAATGTCAGCTGTTCATATTCAGCTCCATTTGAAACTACTAACCTCGATAGCCCCTGTCACCCTGTCTCTGGATAGCCTCACTAGTAAAAGAGCTTTCAGGCACCTCATGCCAGGCTGATTCAATAGGTAGCGCTCTTCCCTCTGAATCAAAAGGTTGTGGGTTCAAGCCCCACATCGGGACTTGGAATCATATAGTCTAAGCTCCACGTGCTCAGCTCCAATGCTGGGGGTGTGCTGCATTGTTGGGAGTTCCCGTGCTTTGTATAAGCGCTCTGGGACGCTACATAAATGCAAGTTGTTGTTGACATTAATCAGAGTCCCGGCTTCCTGTCCAGGTGGACATTAGCGATCCCATGGGACTATTCAAAAATAGAAGGGAGTTTTTCCTGGTGTCCTGGCCAACAATCAAATAAAATTTGTCATTCACTCATGGCTGTTTGTGGGACAGTTTGTTGTGTGCAAATTAATTGCCACATTTGCCCCCCCAAAAAAAAACACAGTCACACCAATTTACAGCATATCCTGTGAAGCGCTTTGTGATAAGTGGTAAGGCAATATATCAAATGCAAGGATTATCATAATTATTATTACATGGGTGAACATGTGTTCCATATATCGCAATAGAATATTCTTTACATTTCTGATTCCAAATAATTTTAGAACAGTTAGAGAGATATGTAAACGATACAGTGTACAATGTAATCCTTGCATTTGAATATTTCTAAATCCACAGGGTTCTGAGAGTGAACGCAACCTCCTAAGAGAAATGCTAGTGTTAACTTCTTGCAGCTATTTCAAGGGTTAATAGAGAAAAGTTGGGTATATTTCACAAAAGTAATATTTAACTCTTCCTTATTCCACAGGTCCCGCTGTCCGATTCAGTGACTTCAAGGTCTCAAGGCCGGAGCCCCCACCTCTGATCGGGCAGCACACAGTGGAGGTGCTGAAGACCGTGCTGGGTTACAGCGAGAGCTATATCAATGAACTGCTCACAGCGGGAGCAGTCACCCAGCATGAACTGCACTAAAGGCTAATCTCTCTTACACAAGCAGTTTTGACCTTTCTGAGATCAATCACGTTCACAGTTCAGACAAGGCCTTTTATAATTGCAGAAATGAATCAAGGTAAATTTCTTTCCAGACTGTTGCAAGGCAGATCACTAGAACACTGTTAGTCTCAACGCAATGAATTACAAATTAAACCCCTAAAGATATACAATAATAAATACCTCAGCACTCCTAAATGTAGATTTCTTGTTGAAATGGAATAAAGCACTACCATGCACTAAGTGTGAAGGCTTGCAATGAGTATGTGATTTTACTACATTAAATTCACAACCAGGTGCTGTCTTAAAAAAAAGTTATAAAAATAATAATTCTTGCATTTGATATAGTGCCTTATCATGTCATTGAGTCATCTCAAGGTACATAATCAAGAGAATAATGTGGTGGCCATTTGCACACAGCAAATGAGGTAATTAATTGCCGTCCACCTACACATGGAAATTCCAGAGATAATGATAACAATAATCCTTGCATTTGATATAGCCCCTTATCGCGACATCTCAAAGCGCTTCAGGGAGAAACAACAAGAACAAATAACACTTGTATAGTGCCCTTCACAATGGAAAGACATCCCAGGGCACTAGACAGTCAGGGGATTTTGGCAAACAAGGGCGGGGAGTGAGGGAGAAGGGAGGATGGGGTAGGAGAGGTAGGGATAAGGGGATCTATCTTGTTCCATACCAAGATAGATTGGAGGGAAACATCCTGTCTGCCTTATTCCAGAAAGTAATAGGCAAGGTTAGCAAGAACCAAGGCTTGGGGGACCCCAGAGTGTCATTGGGATACTGCTGGAGTCTAACCAGCTAAAACCACATAGCTTGCCATTGAAATCGCTGGCTGGCAAGCTTTTCCGCTCCTTGTCCAGCTAGGACCGCCCTACCCGTCAGGAATTTGGCTTGCAGGGTTAACAGGAGCTGAGTGGGATGACTTCCTGCCCCCAGTGACTGGTCACCAGGAAAACCTCCCTTCTCTTTCTGAAGAGTGTAATGGGATTTTAACACCTTTCTGATCAATTAGGCAGGGCCTTGGTTTAATATGTCATCTGAAAGACAATGCTACTGACAGTGCAATCCTCGGCAGCATTCACCGGAGCAGCACCCTAAACTATAAATTCAAAGCCCAGATGAGAGGCTTCAATCCACAATCTTCTGCCCTCGAGGTGAGAATGCCACAAACTGAGCCAAGCTGAAAATGCTGTTGCTCGGTGCCTGTCTGACCCAAAAATGCAGCTGATAATAAACACAATACAAGGCCGGATGCTTTGTGAATCCTCCAGACCTCTACACTTTCAATTACACAAGCCCAACTCAACCGGACAAAATAATTTTGTTTTAATGATGTATTCAAATAGCAAACAAAATGTGACCTATAAGCATTTGTAATGAGTTGATTCCTACTGTGTCCCAGAGGTTTAAAGTTTACTGAAGCGTCATTGTAGCTCACACTTCTTATGCTAATCGGTTGTCTCCATTATAGTAAGGAGATTGTTTACATATCATTAGTTTGAAGCACTGACAGATATTTAAGGATACATGCACGGTGGCATCTGAATGTAACCACATATAGTTTTATTGTAATAGTTTGTCAGTGCCTCTGAATGGTAGCCATTCTTCTTACCAGTACCAAGGACAGGCTCATTTCATGCTTGAACCACTCCTCTCCATTAGTGCTTTGCTCACAGGGTTGAGAACATGTCTACACCTCCAAATCTTATTGGTGAGGCAGACAGGCTGGTCAACCATCAACAAACAATAGCTTGGATTACTAAAGACGTGCCTGGCCTGTTCGACCTATCTCCTAAGAACTAGTTTAACCCCAGCAATATTATGCAGAATTATGAAAAGTTCCTAACGTCATCCTTAATTTGGAAATTGGTTTTCAGCAGTTCGGGACTGAATGTAAGAATTTTCCACGATTCTGCACAATACTTCAATTTTAAGACCCTTAAGGCTAAATTTATGAGGAATTTCGGGTCTCTGATCATACAATAATAATAATAATATTTCTTGTATTTTAAAGTGCTTTACAGAATAAACTGTAAAATGAATTGATTGTATATTTTGTGTGCGAAATGCGGCAGCAAATAGCTATGGATTGAGTAACCAAATTATTGTTTTTTTGAAGGGGTTATTACTTCCAGAAAAGCGATCTGTCAATCGATTTAACAATTGTATTCCACCTTACTGCTAGGTAAACAGAGACGTGGGGAGTAAGGAAACTTGCCTGCTTGGGAATTGAACCCAGATCCTCTCGCTTGCGAGACGAATGCTCTAACTAATACAATACAGGACTTCATAAGTCACTCCTACAAATCCTGGAGTCAGTTCAATGGCAGGGTCACAATGTTGCACATTCTAGACAAATGCATTTATCTACTGTTTTCTGAGGCATTCCCTGAGTTAGGCGCTTGCACCAAATCAAGGACAGAGACAATAAACAACAAACAAATGCTCAATGCAACATTCTTAAAGTAAATTTGTCCCTGGTGTTTTTGCATTGCTTTCCGACTCTCCTTGAGGCTATGTTCATTATCTATTGTTTGGCTTGTGTGTTATTTTTTGAATAGCGGATGCTTATTTGAGCAGGCATAGTGATCATTAGGAATGCTATGAAAAAATTCACTCAATTATAACTTGATGACGTTAAACAACTTGACACAAATAAATGTAAGATTATCTACAATGTGTTCTATCTTCCATCTCTTTCCATTCATCAAATGAACTAAACAATTTTTAAGTTGTTTTAACAAAATAAATCTTATGTTTATTTTGCTATGTTTCTTGCGACATTTCTGATGTCAATATGTGGACCTTTATTTGTTTTGCATTCATATATTTTTTACAAAATAAGAGATTTAAAAAGAAACAAAACAAAATGCTAATATTAGGTCATATTTCTATAAAGCTAATTTCCGGGAGGAAATTTTTTTCAAATATTTTGAAGTCTTGGTACCTGAAAAATCTTCTCACAAGGAGGCACAGATTAACAGAAGACACTCAATACATTGGTGACTCTATTTAAAGGACACAGCACAGTTACAGGCACTGTCGGGATCATGGTCATACTGCAAAAACAACTGCCTTTATATAGCACCCTGCATGACGGATAATGCAGGATAAAGAGCGCTTTAAAGTGAGGGGTTGGACATTGAGTAAGGGAGGAGGGAGAGAAGGAAGCGGTGACTTTAGGCACGGTTGAAGAGCAGGCCTTGAAAACAGATAGGGGGTGAGATGGAGAGGTAGAAGGAGGGAGTTACAGAGATTAGAAGCATAGAATCAGAAAGCTTGGCAACCGATGGTGGCTCAGATAGGGCAGTGGATTGCACCAAGTCCGAGTTGGGAGGGGTGCAAAGTAATTTATTTCGGCAAGAAAAATGAAAGGTAAGAGATCTGGGGATTCAAATTTACAAATCTCTCAAAGTAGCCACACAGGTACATGAGGGCTATAAAAAGTCCAATGGGGTCTTCGACTTTATATCCAGTGAAATAGAATGTATAACAACTACAACAACAAAATTACATTTGTATAGTACCTTTCACATCAGGAGGACATCCCAAGTCGCTGGACAGTCAGTGTTTCGGATCTGAGCTGGGAGTCGGGATTGGGTAGGCTGGGGGTAGGGAGGGAAGGATGGTGACTGAAGGCATGGTCAAACAGGAGAGTCTTGAGACGGGTCTTAAAGGAGGCAAAGGAGGGGTCGATTGCGGGATGGAGTTCAAGAGGGTGGGGGCAGATTGGCAGAAGGCCTGTAACTGTGGGGTGTGAAGCAGGCCGGAGCCCGCTGAGCGGAGGTAGTTGGCAGGTTGGTAGGGGGTTAGGAGATCACAGAGGTAGGGGGGGAGCAAGACCATGGAGAGCTTTGAAGGTGAGGAGCAGGATCTTGAACTGTATCCTCTGTGTGATGGAAAGCCAGTGGAGTCAGGAGAGGGTGGGAGTGATAGGGACGCAGACCCTGGTGCGGGAGAGGACACAGGCTGCAGAGTTCTGGATGTTCTGCAGCCTATGGACGGAGGAGTTGAGGAGGCCGACAAGCAAGGAGTTTGCATAGTCAAACCTCGATGTTATGAATGCGTGTATGATGGTCTAGTAACCTGCTGTGTTAGACAGCGGTGGAGCCGGGCGATGTTGTGGAGGTTGGAGAAGGCAGAGCAGGTCATGCCATGGATGTGGGGTAGAAAGGATAGTTGAGGGTCAAACAAGACACCAAGGTTCTGGACCGGCTCAGTGAGGTGGAGTGTGCAACCTTGGATGGTGATGCTGTCAGCGCCTGAGGTGTGGAGGCGCTGACAGGAGCCAATCAGGAGAGCCTCGGTCTTGTTGACGTTCAACTGAAGAAAGTTAGCTCTCATCCAGGATTTGATGTCTGACAGAGTACAGCGTATGTTTAAGAGGATGATATCAGGGCTGGCAGGTTACCTCTACCAGGATAAACTGCATACGTTAGGCTTCTTTTTACTAGAGAAGAGATATTTAAGGAGGACCTAAAAGAAGTGTTTAAGATTATAAAAGTGTTCGATAAGATTAACATAAATAGGCTGTTTCCACTGGTTGGGGAACAACCTTTGTATCTAAGAGATACAAATATAAGATAACGAATAGGGGATCTAAAAGAAAACTTGGGAATTTAGGAGAACTACAGTACCTCACGCAGAGGGTAGTTAAATTGTGGAACTCGCTGCCTGAAGTGGTGGTTGAATCAGTTAGTACAGATGCATTCAAGAGGAAGCTAGACCTTCACACGAGGGAGAGAGAAATCGAAGCGTGTAAGGAATGGTTGGAGACTCATGTGGAGTATAAACAATGGCACGGACTGGTTGGGCCAAGTGGCCTTTTTCCGTGCTGTACATTCTTCATAATACATCCTAACCACTGAGATGTCTTCAGTAATCATTGCTCATTATAGCTCATTTTAACTGGGGATCATCCTCATTACTCTCCTCTGCACACTGTCTCTGGTACCTGGGTAGGTAGCCCTCTTGGGTTGCAGCAATCAGACCTGTATACAGTATACTAGGTGCAGCCTGACCAGAGCAGCTATTATTTTATATTATTATATGAGGATTCAAACTCAACTGTGTGTAATTACCTGCCACGTTTCATCAACAAAATATACAGTCAATTCACTTTGCAGTATATTCTGTGAAGGGCTTTGAGAACTCTCAATGAATTGTTAAGGTTCTATATCAAATAAAAAAGATTATTATTATTATTATTTAGCAAGATAGCCCATC